AAAAGAGAATGCAGTTACTTTGTATTCTACTAAATGTTTTTTTTTTCCATTTCATACAGAAAAATGTTATTATATTATAATACCTTAAAACAGACTACGAATACTTCTGCCTGTTTCCACATCAAAGTTGACATAATACTACCACTTAATATTATATCTCCGATGAGGACATTGGATTTTTTTATTGACCTAATCCTTCCAGCCGCACTATGGCCCTGGTGTCGACTCAGCCTCTAACACAAATGAGTAAAAAAAGTAAAGCTATCCCTGTAGCAAGCTGTGAAGGCCCATAGGGTTGTGAGACGTTGGTCCTACATTATCTAGACAATCAGCTCAAAGATGGCGGTAAGGTTGTCAGCCTTACGCGCCGGCAGTGCTTTACTCCCCAGGAAAATTATTTAATTAAACAGTTATTTTCTTTTTTCTTACAGCATATAACATGATTCTGCATCCATAGTTTCCACTTTTACTGGCTAGTTCTTGTTCTGTTGGTCAGTGTAGTGACTTTGCTATGGGCTGGACAGTCAAGGACTTTAGGTTTGATTCCTGGAATTGACAGAAATTTATGTCATCCCCCCAGTATCCAGACCCAGCTCTGGAGCCCCCCCAGCCTTCTATATAAAGGCTTTGGGTTGGGGGTGGGGAATAAAACGGCCAGTGTAAGAAGTTGACCAGTCACTTTCATCGAGTGTCAAAGTTAAGAATTTGTGAATCTGTATATCTCTCCTCTCCCATATGTCCCTTGACAATCTCTGTGTACCATTCATCAAAGAAGTCATCCAAGAAAAAAGCATAAAACATCATGATAAACTAGGACACCATAGTAATACATTACTCCAGCCCCTGCTGGAACAACAACGAAGAAAGTTAAAGAAATTATGGCCAGCAGATCTACTTGATGGTAGAAGAGGATCTCTCATTGGAGGAGCCCTCATCACGATACAATAAGCACACGAGGATCATGTTTAAATTAGCAAATTAGCTTAAAGAATGTATTTAATTCTGATTGCTAATAAATATATATATAAAAAAGAATATGTCCCTGTGGTGTGATGCTTAATTAAGCACATGGACAACTTTTAATCAAAAGAAAGAGGATGCAGGATGAGAAGTATGGCACACATGAGGACGGTCAGAAATATATACAGAATTTTAGTTGGTAAACTTGAAGGAAAAAGAGTGCTTTGGAGACTGGGAAGGATGATATTAGAAATATCTTAAAGAAATATGGAAAGAATTAGTAAACTGGATTGAATTGGCTCAAAATATGGTTAACTGGTGAAGTTTTGTGAACACAGTAATGGGCCCTTAGGCTCTTGTTTGTGTTCTGTAAAAGTTGCTCCTGTTGTGATGGGCTAGAAAAGGAGTCATTTAGACTGGCTCTCAAGCTCTTCCCTTCAGACATAACAGAGCTATGGAAAAGAGAAAGGATTTTGTACTGAATGGCATTTCCTGGATTTAAGATAGTCTTTATATCATGATGCTGGTATAATACATGAAAATCACACACTACTTTCTCAGTCCACACAACTGAGAATTCACACCTTGCTTTCAGTGAAACTGTGAAAGGAACAAGGAAGTCCATCAGATGTTTCATTTGTATTATTAATGCATGCTTCAAATGTAAGAGGTCTCAGGTTCAGTTCTTGGTGCAGAGATTATCTATCCTGACAGATGTTTTTCATGGATTTCCTCATTCACTCGGAACATGAAATGTGTACTATCGTGAAGTGTGGAATGGCAACTTTCTTCTGCACCCTTCTGAATTCACCATTCACATTTTCTCATTTGTGACTATGTCACACATTTGAGAAAGTATCTTTAAATAAATCAAGAAGCAAGCAAGGAACTCCACCAGTAGGTGAAGACATGTAGCAAATGGCTTTCACTTTCACTGTATATCAGTCTCTTGACCCCAGATGGAACCATAACAGGGAATGAGGGCATGGGTTATCTTGAGGCTACTGCTGCATGCCAGAAATTTGTGCCATAGCATTGCAACACAATACATAGAATGTTTGTCCAAGAAATGTAGGCCCTGTGGCAGAACTAATACATGCCGTCAGTCCCTGATGAGACTGTCCCCAGTATTACCACAGAGTTATTCATTCATGGTAGTTATATATGATAAATGTTTTTTTTTATGTAAGTTACATAGTAGAGTTTCAAGAAATTTCATTAAGCTTGTCTTGTTAAATAAAATATTTTTTATTAAGGATATGCCAAAAATGAGTATTTGCTAATGTGTGCTCTTCAGCTTAAATTAATAATGGAATTATAAAGTAAGGTGTGAATTAATTGAATATGTACTTTAGGACATCAGTAATCTGAGATTAATATCTATAAGTATAGCCCAATTTTTGTAACAGGGCAATTTGCTTCCAATGTGCATGTTTCCAGAATCATGCTTATAAATCCTTAATGGACATACATACTCATTAAATATTTACTAAATTGAACGATATTTAAAACAAAATTTAGATGAGTGTAATGGTAAAACATTGGGATACATGAAAGGGTAATACAGCTGTGCATCTTTTCACTCATGTTTTGTTCCGTCAAGGAAAATACAAAGTGGCAGATCTCAGTGCAACTCTGTTTGCTTTTTCTGTAACATGTTTGGAAAAAAGAAGTCTTTACATAATTGAATACGCTGAACACAAAAATGACAGGAAGTCGTAATACATTATTTTTATTGTCTGTTTTTTTTTTCCACATGCAAGACGTGTGAACTTACATACTACATATTATGCAGTTTGAAATAATGACAATAAACATTTACTTACTAATGAAACATAATTTGCTGACATTAATTGTAAGAATATTAGGAAAGAAATATGAACATGAAAAGAAAATGTATTGTATGATATTCAGTGCACAAAACTGTGACATGATGGGAAACTTTTGTATCCAAGTTTTGAATCAGCATATGAGAATTAATTTATAGGGCCATTTTTCCTTTATATCACCATAACATTGCTGACTAGTGTTATTGCTGTGACATGAAATTGTAGGAACAAGGTTCATCATTTGTACAAATGCTAGGTTGATGTCATTGTTGTGGTTTATATAACATCTCTGCGCAAGCCTCACAGCCATAGACAAGTGAACCTAATGATGGTCATTACATGGACCAGTGCATTACATTATTACAGTCTGTGTTATTCCTTTGCATGGTTTCCATGCCCCACTTTTGACTAGTAAGTAGCATAGCTATGCGTTACGCTTCTTTCTGTGTTCTTAGATGATGCCACAGGTATGCAGCACTTGCTTTAATTTCTTTCATTCTTCAGTTTTACTGTTAGCCTTTTTTTCTGTTGTATCTTTCTTGCATAACTTACTGAACCAAAGGGTTCAACACGTTTAATACCAAAATCTGTCATTCTGTTTCACTCTGAGCCACTGCAGTACGGTTTATATCTTCATGTTTGTATCTGTGATAGCCATTTTAATATTGTACTTTGTGTCCTTGGTATTTCAAATTACTTGTTTCTAAGACACATTTCTCTGTCAATAGCTTATTTGTGTTTGCTTCCTCACACTGAGCAAGTTGGCGCAAGTGATAATGCTACTGATTTGTGTTCAGGAGATGCCTGGTTTCAGTCTTGACTGGTTCACTGACCATCTTGAGTTTTTTGCGCTTTTGCTCAGAATCTCCAGATAATTGCTTAGATAGTGCCTTAAATTGATTGCCTCTGTGGTCTACTGGTCAGAGTTCCTGGCTACAGATCCATAGGTCCTGGCGCTACCAGATTTTCTGAGAAGTGGGTCTGGAATGGGGTCCACTCAGCCTCGTGACGATAATTGAGAAGCTATTTCAAGAAAATAGCAGTTCTGCTCTAGAAAACCAAAATTATTGGCCATGGGGATTCATAGAGATGACCACGTGCCATCCTCTATCCACTAAAGTTGGCACTAACTTCGCTGAAAAGCAATGGTTGCTTGGTCAGTATAGTTTGCTTGCAGACTAAAAACCACAGTTTCTTTTTTATACATAAATTAAATTAAGCCATGAACTGCTTGTTTCCACATCATTTCCAAATCATTATTCACTTTTCATCCAGTCACTTGATGCTATGTAGTCAGAGTTCCTGACAGAGTAGTTAAGGAAAGTAGAAGTAAATTGTGCTGCATGTCAAGCCTATTATCACTTCTTTGACTACCCTAACATACTAATTATGCGGCTTAAATTACAGAATACCAAATTAAAATCTTACATCTGTTATTTCACTTCCTTTTTTGGTTCAAATAGTATTTGTTTTCATCACTTTCATATCTTTTTTTCTCGTATTGTTTTGCAGGTTCCTACCAGCCGTCTCATGAGCTGATGCTTAGATTTTATGCATATTTCAAGCAGGCAACAGAGGGACCATGTGTTACACCTCGACCAGCATTCTGGGAAGTGGTGAAAAAAATGAAGTGGGAAGCGTGGAACAAGCTGGGCAACATGTCACGAGAAGAAGCAATGAACAACTATGTAGAGGAGCTCAAGAAGGTTTGAGCTTACAGTTTTCCTATCTGTTATGGTTTTTCTGCACTGTATAATTTTGCCTGTGGTTCTGTATGGGTGTGACACTTGGTCTCTGACATTAAGGGAGGAACATAGACTGAGGGTGTTTGAGAACAGGGTGTTGAGGAGAATATTTGGACCGAAGAGAGATGACGTGACAGGAGGTTGGAGAAAACTGCATAATGAGGAGCTTCATAACTTGTACTCTTCTCCAAGTGTAATTAAATTGATCAAGTCAAGGAGGATGAGGTGCAGGTCATGTAGCACGAATGGGGGAGACGAGGAATGCGTATAGGATATTAGTGGGAAAGCCAGAAGGAAAGAGACCACAGGGAATACCAAGGCATAGGTGGATGAACAATATTAGAATGGATCTTAGAGGGATAGGATGGGATGGTATGGATTGGATAGATCTGGCTCAGGATAGGGACCAGTGGAGGGTTCTTGTGAACACGGTAATGAACCTTCGGGTTCCATAAAATGCTGGGAAATTCTTGAGTAGCTGCAGAATTTGCGGCTCCTTCAGAAGGGCTCAGCTCCATGAGTAAGTAAGTAAGTAAAATTTTTCATTCAAAATATATTGAAGTTATTGAAGTCATACTTTTTCACATCTAATGTTGCTCTATTGACATTTGGTAATTCAGTCACAGAACAATTAAATAAAGGCAAGTATGTTTAAGTTTCTAGACCGCCTCTGTGGTCTAGTGGTCAGAGTTCCTGGCTACATATCTAGAGGTTTGAGTTTGATTCCCGGTGCTACCAGATTTTCCGAGAAGGAGTGGGTCTGGAACGGGGTCGATTCAGCCTTGTGAGGATAATTGAGAATCTATTTCAAGGAAATGGCGGCTCTGGTGTATAAAACCGAAATTAACAGCCATGGGGATTCATTGCGCTCACTACACAACAGCCTCTATCTGCTAAATTTGGCACTAACTTTGCTGACAAGTGGTGGTCCTGTGGTCAGTATAGTTCACTTGTGGACTACTACTACATAAGTATAATTTACTACAAGAGAACAAATAAGAGTAGTACAGAGATATTATCTTATGTGCTGGCAGTTTTGTAATATTAAGCATGATTTGAGCTTTTCATTGTGATAATTTTGAAGATTGCTGCCTCCTTGGATGTGATGGCATATAGTCTGGTAGAATGTGCTTTTCTACTCTGAAAATAGAGGCTCTAGGTTCCTCTAAAACATTTGTAACACACTTCCAGACTACACAGTGTCACATCCCATAAAACATTAATCATTCAGTAATATGAAATTGAGGTTTTGTACACTGAAGCAACCTAATATCTTTTAAGTTTAAAATGCTGACCAACTCTTCAGTCTGTGTCCCATGTATGATCTTGGCATTAGACCTCCAGCCACAAATCATAGATTCTTTGATTTACACTCATATTTTTTATTCGGGGGGGAGGGTTGTAATGTAATGTAATGTAATGTAATATATGTAAGGAGTGGTCCATAAATACCGGCCCCAGCGCTATGACCTTCAATGATCTATTGTGCTTCCCCTTTAATTAGCCCTTTATTAATCCTACACTTTTAATAAAGTGAAGGACCCTGCTTATGGGGGCGTTATAAAAGTCACTTGGTTCCATAAAAAACTGACCCAAGTGACGAAATCTTAAATAAGATATGGCCTCACAATCACACAGGATATGTGTGGCTGATTCGTTTTCGTGTAGGCACCTTTCACAAGTTGGGTTATCTGTCAGTCCCAGCTTGAAAAGGCGTCCTTTTAGGTGGCAGTGTCTGGTAAGTAATCCTACCACCCATCTTAGTTGATCTCTATTTAATCTCAACAGATCATTCGTTCTACTGGTCGAGGGTCCTGATATAAAACCCTTTGCCTGTTTGAGTCCAATTGGTGGAGGGGGTGTTGATTTGGTTTTCAGCCTGAAGGCCAGCAATCGTGATACAGAATTGTCATAGTTTTCCCCAGTCTTTCATGATAACTCTTAGGATAGTACCCAAGTTAAAATAAGCCATCAGTGTTTCATTTTACTTCCTCATTACTTCACCATCAACTGTTATCCTACCATTTCATGTCATATAATCTATGCAGCAAATAAGCATTGTTAAGTAACTAAAAAAGTCAATGAGCAGGACATAGGGCTGCATGTGCATTGAAAATAGTCTTCCTCATTCAGAAATAGGTTAAAATGATCTGAATAGATTGTTTGTTACCTTAGTGGCAAAGAAATATGGTTGAGAGAGCACAGTACCCCTCTGTTTTTCAAAATGGGGGAAAAGGAGTGTAAGACAATATCGTATCCTTAAGTTACAAGAGAAAAATAAGGATTAGAAGGAAAGAATGAGGTAGCTAATACTTTGCTATATTTATTTATTTTATTTTGAAAATTTTAATTTTTTCAGCCTGTAAGTAGCACAAAATTAATTTTTATTAATGACACGATAATCTTCAAGGATAATGTATCCTTAAATTCATTTGATTATAGGGGCATCGTATAATACTCCAGGTCCCATAAACACAGGGATCAGCTTCTTGATGGAGGCCCTGAAGAAATTTAGTTTGTGCAAATAGAAAATGATAATTTGGTGTATATTTGTATGCATTGCATGAAGTGAGAAAATATTATCCTATTACTGTCGTGTCTGCATAGGCAGTATTGCAGAAGTGCCATTATTGACTGAGTTGCTGGGAAGCCTTCCCACCTGTTCATGGTCTGTACCTTAATTTTGGAAGAACAATTTAATATTTTTTCTTTTTCTTGTGATTTATTCTTAGGTTATTTAATGACACTTTTAAGCGGACTTCGTGGTCTAGGGGTAATGTTCCGACCTCATGACTCAAGGTACGCGAGTGGAATTTTTAAGGGCGGAAAAATTCGGGGAACAAGTCCTCCAGGAGGGACTTTAAGCCGTGTGTCCCATGTCGTAGATTTATGGCACGTAAAAGATCCTCATGTCTCTGAGAGACCTCTGAGCAGAATTAGGCAAGTTTCCCGCCCAAGTAGTTTCCAATTCCTCTGGTAGATGGGGAAGTATCGGGGACCACTGCCAGAGAGGGCCAACCTTGCTGGCAGAATGGGGCTGATAGCGAGCACCAGTACTGGAAGGACATGGCAACTAGTTAGAATAATTAAAGGGGGACGCGCAATAGATCAACAAATGGTCGCAGTGCATGGGGAAACCCACCCCCTCCAAATAATAATAATAATAATAATAATAATAATAATAATGACACTTTTGCAGTTTTTGAGGTTGTATAG